TTAGAGGGAGGTATTTTAAGTTAGTCTTTTCTATTTGATTGGTTAAAGTTCTTTTCATTTGATTGGTTAAGTTTCTTGACGTCATTTTGTGTTAGGAGAGGGCGGTGGGAGGTTGGTCTATTTAGCTTGTGGGGTCATCATTTTCTGTTAGAAGGTTTGGGTTAGAGGGAGGTATTTTAAGTTAGTCTTTTCTATTTGATTGGTTAAAGTTCTTTTCATTTGATTGGTTAAGCTTCTTGACGTCATTTTGTGTTAGGAGAGGGCGGTGGGAGGTTGGTCTATTTAGCTTGTGGGGTCATCATTTTCTGTTAGAAGGTTTGGGTTAGAGGGAGGTATTTTAAGTTAATCTCCTTGTATTTGATTGGTTAAGCTCCTTGGGGATCAGGAACTTAGAGAATAGATCCTCAGCCCAATAGGGGCTTGTCGTAAGAGGCGACAGAAGGGTGTAGTTTAAGGGGTAGACTTAGGCTCTGAATTTTCTGAGAGGCTGGACTTTAAGTTGGTGTGTGCTTAAAAAGTACAACCTCCCAGAAAATTCTTCCCTTTAGGTGTTAGGAGGGTTTGGTTAGAAGAGGGTCTTTTTAGTTATTCTGTTTGTATTTGATTGGTTAAAGTTCTTTTCATTTGATTGGTTAAGCTTCTTGACGTCATTTTGTGTTAGGAGAGGGCGGTGGGAGGTTGGTCTATTTAGCTTGTGGGGTCATCATTTTCTGTTAGAAGGTTTGGGTTAGAGGGAGGTATTTTAAGTTAGTCTTTTCTATTTGATTGGTTAAAGTTCTTTTCATTTGATTGGTTAAGCTTCTTGACGTCATTTTGGGTTAGGAGAGGGCGGTGGGAGGTTGGTCTATTTAGCTTGTGGGGTCATCATTTTCTGTTAGAAGGTTTGGGTTAGAGGGAGGTATTTTAAGTTAGTCTTTTCTATTTGATTGGTTAAAGTTCTTTGCATTTGATTGGTTAAGCTTCTTGACGTCATTTTGTGTTAGGAGAGGGCGGTGGGAGGTTGGTCTATTTAGCTTGTGGGGTCATCATTTTCTGTTAGAAGGTTTGGGTTAGAGGGAGGTATTTTAAGTTAGTCTTTTCTATTTGATTGGTTAAAGTTCTTTTCATTTGATTGGTTAAGCTTCTTGACGTCATTTTGTGTTAGGAGAGGGCGGTGGGAGGTTGGTCTATTTAGCTTGTGGGGTCATCATTTTCTGTTAGAAGGTTTGGGTTAGAGGGAGGTATTTTAAGTTAGTCTTTTCTATTTGATTGGTTAAAGTTCTTTTCATTTGATTGGTTAAGCTTCTTGACGTCATTTTGTGTTAGGAGAGGGCGGTGGGAGGTTGGTCTATTTAGCTTGTGGGGTCGTCATCATTTTCTGTTAGAAGGTTTGGGTTAGAGGGAGGTATTTTAAGGTACTCTTTTCTATTTGATTGGTTAAAGTTCTTTGCATTTGATTGGTTAAGCTTCTTGACGTCATTTTGTGTTAGGAGAGGGCGGTGGGAGGTTGGTCTATTTAGCTTGTGGGGTCATCATTTTCTGTTAGAAGGTTTGGGTTAGAGGGAGGTATTTTAAGTTAGTCTTTTCTATTTGATTGGTTAAAGTTCTTTTCATTTGATTGGTTAAGCTTCTTGACGTCATTTTGTGTTAGGAGAGGGCAGTGGGAGGTTGGTCTATTTAGCTTGTGGGGTCATCATTTTCTGTTAGAAGGTTTGGGTTAGAGGGAGGTATTTTAAGTTAGTCTTTTCTATTTGATTGGTTAAAGTTCTTTACATTTGATTGGTTAAGCTTCTTGACGTCATTTTGTGTTAGGAGAGGGCAGTGGGAGGTTGGTCTATTTAGCTTGTGGGGTCATCATTTTCTGTTAGAAGGTTTGGGTTAGAGGGAGGTATTTTAAGTTAGTCTTTTCTATTTGATTGGTTAAAGTTCTTTTCATTTGATTGGTTAAGCTTCTTGACGTCATTTTGTGTTAGGAGAGGGCGGTGGGAGGTTGGTCTATTTAGCTTGTGGGGTCATCATTTTCTGTTAGAAGGTTTGGGTTAGAGGGAGGTATTTTAAGTTAGTCTTTTCTATTTGATTGGTTAAAGTTCTTTTCATTTGATTGGTTAAGCTTCTTGACGTCATTTTGTGTTAGGAGAGGGCGGTGGGAGGTTGGTCTATTTAGCTTGTGGGGTCATCATTTTCTGTTAGAAGGTTTGGGTTAGAGGGAGGTATTTTAAGTTAGTCTTTTCTATTTGATTGGTTAAAGTTCTTTTCATTTGATTGGTTAAGTTTCTTGACATCATTTTGTGTTAGGAGAGGGCGGTGGGAGGTTGGTCTATTTAGCTTGTGGGGTCGTCATCATTTTCTGTTAGAAGGTTTGGGTTAGAGGGAGGTATTTTAAGTTAGTCTTTTCTATTTGATTGGTTAAAGTTCTTTTCATTTGATTGGTTAAGCTTCTTGACGTCATTTTGTGTTAGGAGAGGGCAGTGGGAGGTTGGTCTATTTAGCTTGTGGGGTCATCATTTTCTGTTAGAAGGTTTGGGTTAGAGGGAGGTATTTTAAGTTAATCTCCTTGTATTTGATTGGTTAAGCTCCTTGGGGATCAGGAACTTAGAGAATAGATCCTCAGCCCAATAGGGGCTTGTCGTAAGAGGCGACAGAAGGGTGTAGTTTAAGGGGTAGACTTAGGCTCTGAATTTTCTGAGAGGCTGGACTTTAAGTTGGTGTGTGCTTAAAAAGTACAACCTCCCAGAAAATTCTTCCCTTTAGGTGTTAGGAGGGTTTGGTTAGAAGAGGGTCTTTTTAGTTATTCTGTTTGTATTTGATTGGTTAAAGTTCTTTGCATTTGATTGGTTAAGCTTCTTGACGTCATTTTGTGTTAGGAGAGGGCGGTGGGAGGTTGGTCTATTTAGCTTGTGGGGTCATCATTTTCTGTTAGAAGGTTTGGGTTAGAGGGAGGTATTTTAAGTTAGTCTTTTCTATTTGATTGGTTAAAGTTCTTTTCATTTGATTGGTTAAGCTTCTTGACGTCATTTTGTGTTAGGAGAGGGCGGTGGGAGGTTGGTCTATTTAGCTTGTGGGGTCATCATTTTCTGTTAGAAGGTTTGGGTTAGAGGGAGGTATTTTAAGTTAGTCTTTTCTATTTGATTGGTTAAAGTTCTTTTCATTTGATTGGTTAAGCTTCTTGACGTCATTTTGTGTTAGGAGAGGGCGGTGGGAGGTTGGTCTATTTAGCTTGTGGGGTCATCATTTTCTGTTAGAAGGTTTGGGTTAGAGGGAGGTATTTTAAGTTAGTCTTTTCTATTTGATTGGTTAAAGTTCTTTTCATTTGATTGGTTAAGCTTCTTGACGTCATTTTGTGTTAGGAGAGGGCGGTGGGAGGTTGGTCTATTTAGCTTGTGGGGTCATCATTTTCTGTTAGAAGGTTTGGGTTAGAGGGAGGTATTTTAAGTTAGTCTTTTCTATTTGATTGGTTAAAGTTCTTTTCATTTGATTGGTTAAGTTTCTTGACGTCATTTTGTGTTAGGAGAGGGCGGTGGGAGGTTGGTCTATTTAGCTTGTGGGGTCATCATTTTCTGTTAGAAGGTTTGGGTTAGAGGGAGGTATTTTAAGTTAGTCTTTTCTATTTGATTGGTTAAAGTTCTTTTCATTTGATTGGTTAAGCTTCTTGACGTCATTTTGTGTTAGGAGATGGCGGTGGGAGGTTGGTCTATTTAGCTTGTGGGGTCATCATTTTCTGTTAGAAGGTTTGGGTTAGAGGGAGGTATTTTTAGTTAATCTCCTTGTATTTGATTGGTTAAGCTCCTTGGGGATCAGGAACTTAGAGAATAGATCCTCAGCCCAATAGGGGCTTGTCGTAAGAGGCGACAGAAGGGTGTAGTTTAAGGGGTAGACTTAGGCTCTGAATTTTCTGAGAGGCTGGACTTTAAGTTGGTGTGTGCTTAAAAAGTACAACCTCCCAGAAAATTCTTCCCTTTAGGTGTTAGGAGGGTTTGGTTAGAAGAGGGTCTTTTTAGTTATTCTGTTTGTATTTGATTGGTTAAAGTTCTTTTCATTTGATTGGTTAAGCTTCTTGACGTCATTTTGTGTTAGGAGAGGGCGGTGGGAGGTTGGTCTATTTAGCTTGTGGGGTCATCATTTTCTGTTAGAAGGTTTGGGTTAGAGGGAGGTATTTTAAGGTAGTCTTTTCTATTTGATTGGTTAAAGTTCTTTTCATTTGATTGGTTAAGCTTCTTGACGTCATTTTGTGTTAGGAGAGGGCAGTGGGAGGTTGGTCTATTTAGCTTGTGGGGTCATCATTTTCTGTTAGAAGGTTTGGGTTAGAGGGAGGTATTTTAAGTTAGTCTTTTCTATTTGATTGGTTAAAGTTCTTTTCATTTGATTGGTTAAGCTTCTTGACGTCATTTTGTGTTAGGAGAGGGCGGTGGGAGGTTGGTCTATTGTGGGGTCACCATTTTGTGTTAGGAGGATTGGGTTAGAGGGTTGTCTTTTAAGTTTGCCCCTTTGTATTAAATAGGTTTAGCCCCTTGGGTTTCAAGGGTTTAGAGAATAGATCCTCAGCCCATTAGGTTCGTGATGTAAGAGGCAACAGAAGGGTGTAGTTTTTGTTCTTAAATGGTAGACTTAAGGCCTAAATTATTAAGGGTTTGTTACACTTCTCCTTCTTCCTATCTCCCTTTTGCTTTTTGCATAGGAGGGGTAATATACACTTTCCTTCTTCTGTCCGGAACCTTAGTTGTAAGAATACAATAATATTGATAACAAAAAATCACTTTTTGTGACATTGATTTCCACATTCTGTGGTTAAAAAAACAAAATTAAAATCCAAAATGTAATTTAAATGCTTTTGAAATTTTTAATGGTCATTTTTAACATTTTTTGGAAGTATTGTATTAAAAGAGAATTAATAGCAACTTTAATATGAATCTTTCACACAATAAGTCTTATTTCTTTATGGTAATTTGGTAAAAATGCATTACCATTACATTAGGCCTGGCTCTTACTGTTCATATGAAACACTGCCAGCTGATTTCTTTCAGAAAAGAAGAATTCAGCATACAATAGATTCTTTTACCAATGTGCCCCCTGGAAAAGGCTACTGGACACAAATATTAGCATTAACATATGTGTACTTTAATTTAGGACAAGTGAGTCAGGTAAGTCAGCACCACTTTTAAACAAACTTATGACAGGTCTAATTAAAAGATTGAGTGATCACTTGATCTTTTTGTTTCACTTTTTAGTCCAAGTGATGATCTGATTGCAATTTTGTCATTTATACAACTACCCTTTTGATATACTTATCATATACTGAGAAACTGATTTGTTTAAACAAAGAGCCATAAACATTTCCAAGGGGAGATAATTCAGAAATGATGAAAATTGGGTTGCAACATTTTAAATCTCAAGCACCACTGGGCCAGACAGATGAAATGTGAAGGTTTTGTGAGATAGTGTTGATTCAAGTTTGTTCAAATCATGATGATTGGGGGGGGGGGCACCATGTGCTTGTAAATATGTTGATTTTTTGGCATGTCTTGTGATATTAATGACTTACATTTGAGGTTTGAGTTTTGCATTCATTGTCCCATCGTTATCAAAGTTATTACTTTTAAAGGCAGAGATTTTTCCTGGGTGGTAAATTCCCGGTTAGGGAGGGGCTTATTTTGTACAGGTGTGAATGCCTTGAGTGCTAGCAGTGTACCTGTGATCATTTGTTTCCTAATACCGTGATTTAATACACAATAAAATACCCAAGAAGTCAAACTTTTGGTTTTTTAAGTTTGGATTCACACTTTATACGTTCATACCTGGGAGTTCATCTATAATTTATAAAAATAGAGCTGTTAGCTGCATTTTTTGAAGATAAAGGTACAATGTATATCCTAATTTTTGTCACCATGTCAAAACATCTAAACATGCTCAAAGAAAGAGTTGCTTCTAAAGTCTTATCTAAAATATAAAGCAAAATTACAAGGTAGTCATGATTAGAAACTTTAAATTTAATTACATGACATTTCCACTATACATATATAATGGATATTTTTAGCATATCCCAATTAATGTTTTCTCAATTCAGGTTTGAATACTGAATCAATTATACTGTAAATGTAAATTTATTTTGAAAAAAAAAGTTATTTATACCAAAGTTTGATATATTATCATGAAGAAAATTATAGTTATTTCAAATACTAAAAGTTATTATCAAGCTAAAAATTTCCAATAGTAATCATAGTAATACATCTCCATATGTGGAAAATGTCAAAGGACCAAAGGTCACCATGACTGCCAAACAAAGTGTATAGGGTAAACATGGGGACTAGTAAGTAAATGTCAATCAAGTTTTAGCACCTAATGATGGACCTTAATGCACTTGATTGACAGAGGTACACAGACCAGGTATTTTTGAAGGTCGTGCTTAAAATCTCCGCCTTTAAGACTGTATCTTGGGGCCCTTTCGAGTATTAGATTTGGTTCTGTGTGTCTTACATGTATCTTGTCTGTCCATCATTCATGCAATAAAGATTTAAAGTTTTACACTGGAATATATAGGGAAAATCTTCTTTTCAAGAACAACAAAGCCATGATTAGTCATAATGATATGGAAGCATCTTCAGGAAGTGTAGATTCAAATTGTTAAAATCATGATCCCCAGGGTAGGGTGGGCCATAATGATAAAGTTTTACGTAGGACTACATAGAAAAAATCTTTAAAAATCTTTTCTCAAGAACAACAAAGCTATAATTAGTCTTGGGTGATATGGAAGCATCTTCAGATAGTGTAAGATTTAATTTTGTCCAAATCATGACCCTCAGGGCTATGGTTGGGGCCAAAATGGGGGATCAAAGTTGTACATAAGAATATATTTGAAAAAGTCTTCCAACATCTCAAGAATAACAAAGCCATTAATATTAGTAATCTGCTGATGAAGAACGACAAGGTATATTGACTCAGGTAGCATTGTGCCCCATGGGCCTCTTCTTATAGAATTTCCAATCAGAAAAGTGTTTTAACAATCAGACAACTGATACCAGAAAATAAAAGAAGAAATATATGCATTAAAGAACAGGTCTGGACGATTTCCAAATATAGAAGTCAAGAACGATAACCGTGAATTGCTATAAATACACAGAATAAAGAAGGTGCAAATCCTTCTGACCAATCAGATAACAGCATTTAGACAAACCCATGAGCAAATAAATAAAACACGTGGTTTTAAAGTTTTCTGCTCAAAAGATTTTTTAAAACAAATTTTTTGTAAACTTCATGCACATTTACGAATGATATAGTATACTTGACAATTCTACCGTGAACAAACCGACTTGAAAGCTTAGAATAAATTCTAAGTGGGATTAAAAATTTGTCACTACGAGGTAGCAATCCCAAAAGTTTAACTTGTGCTAAGAAATTTAATGTAAATACGGCAGATTTTCAGTTTTTAGAACCTGACATGAAAATGTTTTTGTATGGGAATATAACAGTCTTACATGTAATTATTTCCTGAGTGCTTATTACAAAATCGTCCATGCAGTTTCTGGTATGCGAGGTAAGATACGGTGATAAAAAGCATTCATCTACATTCCCTTTTCTGCACGTTTTACACCTTTCCTTATGTCCATTTAAAGTGTATATAACATGGTTTTCGGCACTTATGAAACCCGTGTTATTCTAAAATGACATGTAATCCAAACGATGAATACTCTATATCTATACGCATGGAAACTACGCGTTATTGATGAAAATCGGACGTCAAAGCAAAATTATATTTACCAACGAAGAGTATGTTCTGGTAAATGTTATAATTGTACTTGACAATAGCTTGACAATGTGATCTATTCTTCCGTAAACGATCGCATTGTTACATGCATTAATTTTTTTTTTCTTTTCCAAGATGAAAATGTCAAGTTTGTTCACGGTAAATATGTGGGGAATACCTTATTCTTCCAAACTTTTCATCTTACTTCTAAAGATTTTTTGTCAAAAAAATCTTTCTGATGAAAAAAACAAAAGCACGTGTTCTCTTTTTGTTCCTTTGAAATATGTTTTGGGGTGAGTAAAAATGCTGTTTTCTGATTTGGCGGAGAAATATTTACGTGTATATGATGTATATTTATAGCAACTTTCAGTTATCGATCTTGACTTCCATATTTGGAAATCGTCCAGACCTGAAGAAAGGTAAATGTTTGTACTACACAGTTGATTCAACTCAAAATGAATTATGACTTTTTCTTTTAGAGAGGGATTGTGACATAGTGTAGATTGCTGACACTTGTTGGAAGGATACCTTTCAGTTACCTACAATTCTACCAACTGGAAAAATCAGTACCAATGCCACTTGTGTTACTGGACTATTAGTCGAGGATGGAGTTCTTTATTGAAACAGTTCTCAAGTACTGACTAACAGCTCGACTTCATGAATTTTACAAAACAGTGCTCAAGTATTGACTTTCATCGTAATGGACTCCACAAAACGGTACTCTAGTACAGACTGTATCTCTCCATACCGAACTTCCTTCTTTTTTTTTTTACCTTATTTGATTAAATTTAGCAATTTTTGTGGTAGTACTCATAACTGTAAAAATTTAACTGAATAAAAGATTAACTGTGAAATAAGAAGAATGTTTCTTTTACACACTGCCATTTTCATCTCATCAGCTGTCAAGTAAGCTTTTCTGATCACCCGTGCTTGATGTATGTCTATATGTATATTAGTCCATCTATTACTAGTAACTTTCCACTTTTTAAAAAAACTTTTTCTTGCGAACTACTATCCATGGGTAAAAAGACTTCAATATTTTTCGAAGGAAGGACCATGCCCAATTCAAAGGAGAGATAATCAAGAAAATGCAAAATTGGGGTCATCAAAAATTCCTCGGGAACCTCTGAGCTAGGAGTATACGATATGGCCTACAATAAAAAGCATTTACAAACATCCAAAAATATTTCAATATTTTATGATATTTAGTAAATCTAGCTATAAATAAATACAAGTTATTAGGTCACCTGAGTCACTCAGGTGACCTATTGCTATCTGTTTTCGTCCGTCGTGCGTTAACTTTTGAACATTTTTAGCTTCTTCTCTGAAACCACTGAACCATTTTCAACCAAATTTGGCATATAGCATCTATGGATGAAGGGGAACAAAAATTGTGAATTTCATGGTCTCTGCCCCCCTGGGGCCTGAGGGGTGGGGCTAAAACCACCAAAATTAATGCAATCTTTAAAAATCTTCTTTACTCCTGGACATCAAGCAGTCAAACTGTTGGTATAATTGTAATAAGCATTGAGCCCTCTACCAAAATTGTGAAATTCATGGCCCCAGGGTCAGGGGTTCTGGTGATAGGGTGGGGCTATATAGATCATATAGTGAAAGTGCATTATTTCTTTGAAAATCTTCTTCTCTGCTTCTGGGTATTCAGTAAACTAACTAAGTACATAGTTATAATGAGCAAGAGTGCCTTTTCCAAAATTGTGAATTTCATGGCCCCAGGGTCAGGGGTTCTGGTGTTAGGGCGGGGCTCTATTAATTATATAGTGAAAATGCATTAATTCTTTGAAAATCTTCTTCTCTGCTTCTGGGTATTAAATAAACTTAGTGCATAGTTATGAAGAGCAAGAGTGCTTCTTCCAAAATTGTGAAATTCATGGCCCCAGGGTCAGGGGTTCTGGTGCTAGGGTGGGGCTAAATAGATCATATAGTGAAAGTGCATTATTTCTATGAAAATCTTCTTCTCTGCTCCTGGGTATAAAATAAACTAACTAAGTACATAGTTATGGAGAGCAAGAGTGCCTCTTCCAAAATTGTGAATTTCATGGCCCCTGGGTCAGGGATTCTGGTGTTAGGGTGGGGCTCTATTGATTATATAGTGAAAATGCATTAATTCTTTAAAAATCTTCTTCTCTGCTTCTGGGTATTAAATAGACTTAGTGCATAGTTATGATAAGCAAGAGCACCTCTTCCAAAATTGTAAATTTCATGGCCCCTGGGTCAGGGGTTCTGGTGTTAGGGCAGGGCTCTATTAATTATACAGTGAAAATGCATTAATTCTTTGAAAATCTTCTTCTCTGCTCCTGGGTATTCAATAAACTAAGTACATAGTTATGGAGAGCAAGAGTGCCTCTTCCAAAATTGTGAAATTCATGGCCCCAGGGTCAGGGGTTCTGGTGTTAGGGCGGGGCTCTATTAATCATATAGTGAAAATACATTAATTCACTGAAAATTTTCTCTGCTCCTGGGTATTTTAAAAACTAACTAAAAACTTATTTATGGTGAGCATGGCTGCCTTTTCAGAAATTGTGAATTTCATGGCCCCTGGGTCAGGGGTTCTGGTGTTAGGGTGGGGCTCTATTGATTATACAGTAAAATTGCATTAATACTTTGAAAATCTTCTTCTCTGTTCCTGGGTATTAAATAAACTAACTTAGTGCATAGTTATGAAGAGCAAGAGTGCCTCTTCCAAAATTGTGAATTTAATGGCCCTTTGGTCAGGGGTTCTGGTGTTGGGGCCGGGCTCTATTGATACATATAGTGAAAATGCATTAATTCTTTGAAAATTTTCTTCTCTGCTCCTGGATATTAAATAAACTAAGTACAAAGTTATGATGAGCATGGCTGCCTCCTCAGAAATTATGAATTTCATGGCCCTTGGGTCAGGGGTTCTGGTGTTAGGACAGAGCTCTATTGATTATATAGGGAAAATGCATAAAATCTTTCAAAATCTTCTTCTCTGCACTTGGGTATTTTTCAAACAAAGATAGTGCATGGTTATGATACAGAAAAATGCCTCTTCCAAAATTGTGAAGTCATGGCCCGTGGGTCAGGGGATATGGTGAAGGGGGGGGGGGGCTCTATTGATTATATAGTGAAAATGCATAATTTCTTTCAAAATATTTTTTGTACTACTGGTTATAAAGCAAAGAAACAAGTGTAAAGTTATGATGTGCAAGGGTGTTTCTTCCAGAATTGTGAGTTCGTGGTCAGATGTTCTGGTGTAAGGATGGGGTTTTATTTATTTAAAAATAAAGTGAAAATGCATTTCTTTGAAAATCTTCTATGCTTCTGGGCATATTCGAGGCAAACAGAGTAAAAGTTTTAATATGCAACATGTGCAAGGGTATTTTTACCAGAATTTTGAACACCTGGACCATTTAGTCAAGTGTTCTGGTCCTGGCCAGGGCTCTATTAACTTGTATTCTGCTGAGCGAAGTTATTCCCCTTTGCCATTCACCTTTGATAATTAATCACTGTAAATAATGTACTTGAAAGGTTAATAGAATAAGAGAATTATGCAAGAATATTTATTGTATAATACAAAAAATACATTCAAAGTTTTAATGATCAGGTAGACTTGGAAATAATAAATGAATAAAAATGAGACAAAAATAACTTATCTTTTTATATGTTCTTCAAAGGCCAAGAGAGGCCACCGTGAGAAGCAATAATATGGGGTTAAAAAATAGACATTTTGTTAATAGTCTGCATGGTAATAGTGATAAATGGGGGACAGAGGGATACTAGACCAATTATTTTGTTGATGCTGATCATACTATTTTTCTTGCTTTTGGGCAACAAAGCTTCATTTATCAGTTTATGGATCCTCTAAATTGTTGTATTGTACTCAGGTGACCGTTAAGGCCCTTGGGCCTCTTGTATCAGTACGTGGCAAAAGTATTCATAATTATCTCGAACAAGGTCAGTGAAAATTGTAGAATTTATATGGGATACATGTATATATATGGAGAACTACTGAGTGAGCAGTAAGAAATATAGATTTGTGTATTTGAACCAACTGAAACCAGAGACATCTTAAAGAGGCAAAGATAGAGATTTGAAGTGATCTCTGCAGAGTTTAACAAATTGAACACACCCGGTAGAACGTAAACTATTTTGTAAACAGGGCAAGGGCTCTGTTATTGTTAATGTTTACGTTTCACCGGGTGTTTTCAATTTGTTGAACTCTGCACACATCACCGAGCACAGACTGACAATACTGGTGAGTTGGTTTTGCTCTCACATTTCCACTCTGAATTTTCTGGAATATATCTTTAATTTTTTTCATTATTACACGACAAAAGAAGACAGCTGTGTTTGGCCTGTGATCTGCGGGAATAAGGCGTACGAAACATTTATAGTTTAAATGTCTACGATTTGGTCGACTGACCACAGAGCTCTAGGCATACTTAACAAAATCACGCGTATTGGAAAATGTTACATTTAGTTTGACATACTTTGTCAAATTTAATATATCAGTCCGCTTATCTTAATTACTTCATGTAAAATTTAGTAACGCTTCACATAAATAATAAACACCTATAGGGTATAGTTAAATGCAATTACAAGTAATAGCTTTTCAAAAAGCTTGCCTGACCAATCAATCAATATCTATGGAACGTATAAGCAAGAGAAATGCTAGAGGTCCGTCAGCAGGAAGCGACATAGTTGCGATACTTCATTACACAAGATGTACAGTTGACTTTCTCTTGAAAATCTCATAACCAAATACTACAGATTAACGAATATCTAAGACATGCCTCTATGTAATCTTTTATTAGTTAACCCACGGGCTGGGATGAAACTCTAAGTGCGCTAGAGTAGATTATAATTTTGGGAAAAAAAGTTAGATGATTCGTTGTAAAGAAATTCATATTACATGTACTCTCTTACTAGAGGGCGCGCTTCTTCATGCACACTCTCTGGTCAGTGATAGATTGATGAGACGGCCTCTTTTTATAGACTGGTCTGTTTTCCGTCGTTCTCGACGACGAAGTAAATTATGAACAGTTTTAACTGCCTTGTCTTGAAGTGTTTGAGACAAAAATGCTTTAATGCTGCTCTAGAATTCAAAGTAGTTGGACTGTACACATTATAGCTAGAGCAAAACAAGATACTAATAACACCCCCCACCCCACCCCCACCCCCCACCAGACGAAACTCACGCGCTGATGGTCTTACCATATACATGTACATGTGTTAAAAATGAGTTTAAAATACATCTTTATGTACAGTTTTAAAATTGTTTAGTTTTTCTTTTCAATCGATTTCAGGGCCTTTCTCATAATTATAATAACGTGCTTTTATATGAAATGAAAACTAGAAGAGATCATGATGTCTTCTTCATTTTGCCGATTCTTTGCTTAGAACCTTACGGGAGTTTAGCCCATTCCTCTATGGGTACTGACCTACACTCTTGTCACTCACTATCCTTGTTCATCACAAAGCATGAAATAATATGCTACTGGTAGTACTTTCTAAGCTTTTTAAAAAACCTAACCTTGTAACGTACATTATTAATAAATGTAATATTGAAAGAAAAGGTGGAATACAGACTAAATCAAGAAGGGATGCCCCATTTACTAGGTTGTTTATGATTGGAGTAGTTCACTTATGGGATAAATAGTAAGAATAATCAGCAAATTACTTTAGTGTTGCCTGCCCATATACAACGTGTTCTTTTAAAAATGAGATAAAGGATGTATTCACTATTACAAAAGAATTGACCTATAGGAGAGAACAATTTCCCGGAAAAAGTGACATTTAAAGATCAATCTTTATTTGTTGTTTTCTATCGTATATATGTCTAAATTTTTCAAATTTGTATTTTACAACTA